ATTTGGAATATACTTAAAACATTATTTGTTGTTTACTGACATTCAAATTTAACTAGACATCCTGTATTTTAATTTATAGCCCTACAGAGGGTAGATACCCTAATGTTTTTCTAAGTCCATCTACTGCTTTGCAGTCTAAATTTCTTCAAGATTTGCTCCTAATTTAACCCCCTCACTTTGTAGGTGAGAAAATGAACAACTAATACTGCTTTTGCATGAAGTGTAGTGGATGTTGCATGCCCACCTACACACAACTCCCTTTAGTTGTGAGAATATAAGAATAGAAATGACTTTGCCTGAGAAACCTAAGCTAGGTATTTTCTCTTTTGCAATTTTTTATTATATATTTCAAAGCTACATACAAGCAAAGGCAATGATATAATGCATTGCACACAATTTATTTCCACACTAGTTAATTTCTTCTTGTTGTTTGGTTGGGCAGGTAGGTGGATGGGTGTGGGTTTTTATAGCACCATCCTTATTTAAGTCAGTGGTTTTGAACCATGGCTGCCCATTACAATCCCCTGAAGAGCTTTCATGCTCTCCATCCCTGATTGCCTCCCCGACCAACTAAATCAGAATCCCTGGCTGTGGAGTCGGCATTAATAGTAGTTAAAGCTGCCTGGTGACACCAATGTACAGCCAGGGCTGAGAAGCACTTTCTTAAATGAAAACGGGAAATTCAAAAAGCCATTTTTACTGCTAAATCATGCCCTAATATTTCAAACTACTCTTCACAATTTATTATCATTAAGCACATTATATTAAAACTTACTATATTTATTACGTTATATTAAAGCACATCATATATTATAAAGATCACCTCTTTATAAGGATTTCGTCTGGTTTTAATCATGTCACTGATTCATTATTAATTTTCTAAAGTGTATAACTAGCTTTGGTTTTCAGGTTTTTTGTGTGTGATTTCCTCATGTCTTTTTCATGTATATTTTTCTGTCTCAGGTTATAAATAAATGGTTCTTAACTCTCAATAGAATCATCTTCCCTGGTGTGGCTCAGTGGATTGAGTGCTGGCCTATGAACCAAAGGGTTACCCATTCCATTCCTAGTCTAGGGTACATGCCTGGGTTGCGGGACAGGTCCCCAGAAAGGGATGTGTGAGATGCAACCACACATTGATATTTCTCTCCCTCTCTCTGAAAGTAAATAAATAAAATTTTTTCCAAAAAAAGAATAATCTCAGGATGCTTTTTTAAAAAAATCCTCACCCAAGGATATATGTTTATTGATTTTAGAGAGAGAGGAAGGGGGAGAGAGAGACATCCATGTGAGAAACATCAATCTGTTGCCTCCTTAATTTCTCTGACTGGGGATAGAAACCGCAATCTTCTTGGTGTACAGGGTGATGCTCCAACCAACTGAGTTACCTGACCAGGGCTTTTTAAAATATTTTCTGACATCCCCTGCTAGAGGCTCTGCTCTAATTAGCCTGGTGTACAACCCAGACATTGTTGTTTTATAAAAGATACTGAGTTCAGGCAGAGTTAAAAGCCAGTATTTTTATATACATCAAATGCTCACCTACCCGATCATCTGAATTTTCTAGGGGACTTTCAAAACATGTATCTACTCTGGCTGCGTGGCACAGGTGGCTGGAGCCTTGTTCTGTACACAAAAGGGTTGTTTCCATTCCCAGTAAGGGCACATACCTAGGTTGCAGGTTTGATCCCCTATTGAAATGCATTTGGGAGGCAACAAAAGGATCTCTCTCTCTCCTGCACCCCAGCTTTCTCTTTACCCCTCTCTCCCTTCCTCTCTCTCTCAAATTAATGAATATATCCTCAAGTGAGGATTAAAACAAAGACACACAACAACAACAAACCCATGCATCTAACTGACTTACCTAATGAAATCAAAGGAATTTTGAGAGGTTCTAGGTGGAAGAGAAATGAGGGGTTAACAAATGGCCTTCAGACTAAATGGGTATAAATGAGGAATTCCTGTTGAAGTTCCAAAGAACTTTGGGGAACAAGGACAAGGATGTCTAATATCTTAGAAATATTTTACTTTCTCTGCTAGACTTCAGTGTAAACTTATTTTGTTGTTCTGAAATCTTCAGAAAATGCTGCCACACCTGGGTACACTGATGCATGCCCACAGCCACATGGAGTGAATGCCCACTGCCCAGCCCCCACCCATGGAAATCCTGATTCAGGAAATTCAGAGTGAGGCCCCGACACCAGCACTTGAAACCTTTCCCCAGACCATTGTCATGAGCCGCCAGCTTTGGTCATCACAATTCATCCCATTGACAAGAGTCATGTGTGGTAGCAGTAAAATCATTGGTGAAACCAAGTTTTTGCAACTTGGGAAAAAAAAAAAACAAACTAGAGTCTGGTTCTTATTAGGCCTCCCTCAGATCTACCTGGTCTTTTTTCTCTTTGAGTGTCTGTATAAAGGAAGAAATGACCTTTCTAAAATAGGACAGAAGAAGTCCAAGGAGAAAGTGTCTTGAAAAAAAATACAGTAAAAGTGTTTACAATAGACTTAATCTTCTGCTCCGTGATATAACAGAGAGGAAACCTGACATACATTACCAACAATTATGAGGCACCAACCCAAACATTTCATTCATTCAGCAATTCCTGAGTACCTACAAAGAGACAAGGACTGAGCTAGACTCTGGGAATTTAGGATATGGTATTGCCTCAAGGAATTTAAAATCTGGAAGAACAGACCGATAACAGAGCGGGAGAAAATAGAAAATTATACAAAGTAAAGACTATAGACACAGTCTGTGGGGGAGTAGAGGTGAGGGGAGCCTTCAAAGAAGCAGAAGATAAAACCAGGCTTTTGAAAGATACAATATAAGGGGGTGGGGTCAATGGAGGGAGAGTGAAGGTAAAGAAATGGCATTTCTTTCTTTTATTATATTATGCTTTTATTTATTTATTTTGTTATTAATTTATTTTTTATTGATTATGCCATTACAGTTGTTCTATTCCCCCTCTTCATTCCCCTCCACCCTACCCCCCTGTTCCCACCATTACCCCCCCTTTAGTTTATGACCATGTGTCTCAAGTTCTTTAGATTCTATATTTCCCATACTATTCTTGCCCCCCATCTATTTTCTATCTACCATCTATGCTACTTATTTTCTGTACCTTCTCCCCCCTTCTCCTCCCACTCCCCTGTTGCTAACCCTCCTTGAGATCTTCATTTCTATCTTAGAGAGAACGGAACGCTAAGCCTGGCATAGTTCCTTAGTTACAAACAATTCTACTACACCATCACTTAATGTTTTGGAGGACTTGAGGACAGGTACAAGGCAGAGTGGCAGTGTTGCCATGTGTCAAACTCCACTCACACACATCAGCCCAGTTATTCCTAGATATTATGATGTTCCTAGAGTGGCCATAGTAGATGAGAGAAGGCCAACCAGCTTTGCTAGCCTAAAACAAAAGACATACAATCTTCATTTGTCAGATTCTGCCACTAAAATCCTCTTCCTCCAGACTAATTTTTTCATATCATTCTAATTGGTTCTTGGTTGCATTTGCTGCTAGAATTATTTTTTATGTTAGATTTCTGAATTTTCAGCTTCCCTGGACATAAGCATTTATTTTTGCATAATAGATGTTCTCCAGTGTTCTGTGGTTGGTCACAAGAGCCTGATTTCATCATGAATGTAATTTCAGTTTGGTGAAAACCTAACTTTTCACCATAAGGAGTTGTATTAACCAACACTGGAAACCCCCAGGCTCTGGTGGTCACCACATAGGCACCCAACTGGTAACTCACACTCGCCCCCAACTCCTCTTCTGTTAATGTGCTTTGGTTGGGAACAATGGCTTTAGACGTTGTTGTGCACTTAATTTTTTATTATCAGGTATACTGTTCAAATAGACAGACAAAGGGTCATGTAACAAACACCAGTTTCCTTACCACACAGTTTAACCACATCTTAACATTTTGCTCTCTTTGTGCCAATTCAATTTTTTACAAACTGAAACTTTGAAGATGCAGTTTGTTGAAGCTCCCTGTTTCTTCTGAGCTTCACTCCCCTTCTCCCCAAAGGTAGCAGTATCCTCACCTTAGTGTCTAGCATTGTCATGCATGCTCCGAAACATTTCCTACTTGCATGTATGTCTATAAACAACATCTATTATTGATTATAAGTTTTTATACTTTGAATAACTGTATCCTCAAAATATCCATCTGTGCCTTGCATTTTTATTGAAATTAAGCATTTGAGATTTATTGATGATGACAAAGATTTAGTTCATTTGTTTTAACTACTACATAACATTCAATTTATTACCATACCAAAATATTTTTTATTGCATACAGGTAGATATTTGGGTGTTTCCCAAATTTTTTATGATCATAAAGCTATAGTGAACATTCTTATACACATGTCCATGTGTGCAAACATATTGGATTTTTATTCTTAGTCGTTTATTTTGCTCATGTAAGTAGTATTTATCATGTAACAAAAAAATGATCAACCATTTTAACAGACTTACACATCAACATATTCAACTTTAAAACATATTATAATATGTCCCCCATGAAGACATATAAGCCACACCTCTGCACCATAATTTAATTTAAGGAATAATCAAATGTGAATACAGAATTAGAAAGAAGGCTAATACCTTCAAAATCTTGGAGTCAATTTAAGAACTGACCTTGCCCCTTTTTCTGTTTTCTTGACACAAAAGTGGTCAGAGTTGGCTTGATTTGCAATTCCTCTGGAGCAGGATCCAAATGACTGTAATATTTAGCTAGAATTTAATATAAGTTTTGTTAAAAGTATGCATATTACCCACTGATTGCCCTGTGGGCAATTTGATTTTTATTGATTTGATTTCACCTATTAGTGCCTACTACATACAGATCACCATGTTAGATGCTTCAAGGTATCCAAAGATGGAGACGTTTTCAGAAGGACTTAGAAGACCACAAGGAAGAGATGCTCAAGAACAGACATCAGTTGGATTTTGGCATCTGAAGTAGAGTTTTTATTTTCTCCCTAGTGACACTCGGGAAATGCTTGTCTCATGCTGTTGGTGAATAATTTCTGAGTACTATGGATCATACTGAAGAGAATGAAATCCTTGCAGCAACCCAGAGGTTCTGTGTGGACAGGCCAGTCTTCAGTCATCTGGTCCTCCAGGAGAGGCTGCACAAGAAGGACAAGATTCCAGATTCCATTGGGGATAAGCTGAAACAAGCATTCACGTATGTTGTGTTTTAACCTGTTTCCTTTATTACTGTCATTCATTCACTTATGAACGAAGCAAGATAAATGTGTAAGGAAAATCTGGTGAAATGCACAAAAAAATGAATGGTGAGCACTCATGGTTTGCAGAACTGTCCACGGGGTTCAGACAGTGATAGATATTTGATCAAGCACAGGCTTTATTATGTATTTCACCATATTTATTAAATTCTTACTATGCCTTGGGGAATGTGTGTGTAAAAATTTATATAAATAACCTGCTTTCCGATTCTCTACCACCTTCAAAATATCCACCTCTTCCCTTTGTGTCTCAGAATGCTCCAACCACTCTCTTTTTTTCTACCCTTGACTTCTACCCCATTCAGCAACAACCTGAATCTAAGTCCCCAAACTGAGGTCCCTCAGTGTCCTATGACTCTTAATTTTGGAGACACTTACACAGCCATGTGGCTGGCCAGGGAATGTTGATACACGTGTGCCTATTGATAGCTCCCAAACTTCAAAAACAAACCATTTGGTTAACTGCCTCCTGAACCCTTGCGCCCACACCTTCTGTGTTCCATGTTTATTCAAGCTTCATAGTGGCCCTGTGCTCAAGGTACAATCACCAGGAGAGGGGAAAAATGTATACACTGGCTCTATGAGCTTTAATCCTAGTCCCAACCACCTACCAGCTGTATGCTTGAGTTTCCTGCTCTGTAAAATGAGAGTAATGATACTTACATCATAGAGTTGCTAGAGGTTAGGCATATGGCAAGCACTTTATAAGTGTAGCTATTATTAATATCTCAATTTTCTAAATGATGTATCAAATCTAGTTTGTTTCACTCAAATTCATTGCTCTTGCCACAGATGCCTCACGTTTTGTTTTCGAAATCTTCCTTCATCCAGTTACCAGTTACTCTTAACCACTAAAATACCATGATACTATCTGTGCTGCAATAATGTGTTATATTTTGAATGGAATGAATTGCTTCCTTGTCACAAGGAGGACTTAAGATTTTCTGAGTGGCAATGGAACTCATCTATTTATACTCTTACTCAGTGATATCTTTGATTATTGGTATAGTCTGGCCAAAGGACTGGCCAAGGCCCAGAACATGGTCTATGTATCAAAGTTAATTGAACCACATAGGGATTAAATGCAAGGCCTTGGTTTTATCAGCTTGGTGTTCCACCTAACCAAGAAAACCAGACATAATAGATTCAGCTACTACACTCCATTGACAAATGGTGTTTTGAGTTTACCTAATCAAAGACCCTAAAGCAATGGATACATATTAATAAAGCTCAGAATTGTGTATAAATCTCCTTTATTTTATAAGGAAGAGAAAACTAAATGGGCATATGCTGGTCAGTGGTTCCATATTAAAAAATTAACTCAATCAGTAAATAATATCCCTACTTCTCTTTTGTACCAACACAGAAACTACAGTAAGGATTTCATCTATTAAAATAATAGCTCCTGCCCCTGGCTGGGTGGTTCTGTTGGTTGGAGTGTCTACCCATGCACCAAAAGGTTGCAAGTTCGATACCCAGTTAGGGGCAGATACCTAGTTTGCAAGTTCAATCTCCAGTTGAGGCACATATGGGAGACAACTGGTGGATGTTTCTCTCTCCCCTACTCCCTCCCCTCCTCTCCTTCCTCTTTCTCTAAAACCAATAAAAATATCTTCAGGTGAGGATTAAAAGACAGCTTCTAGGTCTACAGCCATACCACCCTTAACGTGCCCAATCTCATCTGAAAAAATAGCTTCTGGGTTATCTCTATTAATCTGAAGCTGAATTTTTCTTATTTTTCAAGGTCAGTTGTAGAGCATTATTATGGAGTCAGTTTAGATGTTCCCAACAACACAGAATTGCAAGAAGCCATTCTCCTTGTCTCTGATCTCTGCAGAATGACAAGGTTATTCTCAGCTCCAGTGGTGAATGTTTTCCTTATCGTTCCAGGATATAAGGAAGGGAAATCCCTCGGTTTGAAATCTACAGAAATGTTCCTCATTTTCTTCTCTTTCTTTGTCCTCCCAGATGTACACCTAAGAAAATAAGAAATATCATCTATATGTTCTTACCCATCACTAAATGGCTGCCAGCATACAAATTCAAAGAGTACGTGCTAGGTGACTTGGTCTCAGGCATAAGCACTGGGGTGCTGCAGCTCCCTCAAGGTCAGTAGGATCTATTTATTTGTTTGTTTCTCTTATTACCATCTCCTCAAACAATTGCTTGACTTTTTCTCTGTTTAATTTCATCATGATTGTAAATTTATAGTTTTTATATCATTCCAATAAATGTTACCTGTCTAAAATAATTCTTCAGAAAATGTAAGCCTTAAAAAGCTCCTGAGATAGTAGTAGCAGAATATGGTGATATTGTTTTGCATATCAGTCCAGGTGGGGACTGGCTGGGTTACTCAGTCACTCTGTGAAAAGTTGGCATTGTTATAATGAAGGCTCTTGACAACAAATTCACATTCTGTTGGTAACAGACCATGAAACACCGAATTCCTCTGCATTTGTGTGATTTTGATATGTGACATAAGAATTTAAGAACATCTCAGTAATTTATGCATGTAGTCACACTTGTTTATCAAGCATCTGCCCAGCCCTGCCTGTCCTCATAGAACTAACTCTCTGATTAGGAAGAGAGACATAAAGCAAATAAAAGTACATATAAAATTTTAATTACAAATGGTGTTAAACACTAGGAAGGAAAATATAGGGCCCTATGAGATAATCACAGGGAGACCTAATTTAAGTAGGTAAATCACCAAAACAAAAAACCAAAAAAAACTTTTTTAGCCCTGGCTGATATGACTCAGTGGACTGAGCAATGGCCTATGAACCAAAGGGTCTCTGGTTTGATTCCCAGTCAGGGTACATGCTTGGGTTCCAGGCCAGATCCAGTAGGGGCCATGGGAGAGGCAACTGATGTTTCTCTCCCTTTCTTTCTCCCTCTCTTCCTTTGTCTAAAAATAAATAAAATATTTTTAAAAACTCTTTAAGGAAATGAGATTTGAGCTGTGACCTAAAGGAGGAGGCAGGTAAAGAATGAGAGGAAATGCATTTCAGGCAGAATGAGCAGCATGTGTGAAGGCATTTCGCAGGAAAAATATTGGGTGTTTGAAGACTTGGTTTTAAGAATTAACAGAAATTGTTCTTAGAGCAAAGTGGACAGGGCAAGTCTATCCAGCCTTGTAAGCCACTGTTGGATTCATTCTGACTACAGTGAAAGCTATCAGCATGCTTTTCACTGAGATTGCCGTTTTGAGAATGGATTTAGTTAGTGTGAGGGATACCAGAATGAATGTGGGGAGATCAATTAGAGGTGATAATGACTCAATATAAGCAAAGGTGATAATGGCTCCAACAGCCTCATGGTCAGCTGGCCAAAAATTTATTCCCTTCTCTAATTTCCCAAAAGTTAATCATCAAATCATCAATGATCAAAAAATCACATCCCCTAATGATCATTTGGCTGAGTTGTACATTTTCCAGGTGTCTGATTTATCAAATCTACTGAATCTACTAAATAAAAACCTTAAGTCAGGTTTAGGACAGTTTTCCATAGCCACTTGGGCACCAACATCCCAATGATAGAGAAAGACAGATTCAGAGGCAGAGGTGAGAACAGAGAGAGGAGCAAAGGGGCCCAGCATCTGACATGGGAAACAGAAATTAACTGACATTCAGCCCAGCTGGACTGACAAAGCTACAGGAAATGAATGCAGTTAATCCATGCAAAGTAATACTGTGAAGAAATCTTCAGGATTTAGCCTCAATGGGTTTTCACTAGAATGCCATTTCAAATTTCTCTTTGACCTGTTAACCTTCTGAAAAGATACATGCTATATTTTATGCCAAGATTAGCAAGACTGGCTATTGCAATGATTTGGAGGAGAATAAGGAAACAAGGTGTGTCAAGAATTACTTTAAGGTTTCTGTCCCTATACCCAACTTTATGTTGGGTATAGGGACAGCAAGGAAGAGAAATGGTCAAGAATGACTCTCAGATTTTTTATTTAAACACCTGGGGGATGGAGACATAATAATTGCAGACATAATAATGGAATGGAATGGAATTAAAGGGAAGTCTGATCATGTTAAAGTTGTGATGCTTGTGAGATAGACAAATGGACATCTCATGTTTATGTTTATATAATGCAAGAAATATATATAATAAAATAATATATATATATATTAAAAAAAAAAATAAAAAAAAAAAAAAAAAAAAAAAAACAAAAAACCATAATAAAATACCTAGGAATAAATTTAATCAAGGATATAAAAGACATATACTCTGAAAATTATGGTACACTGAAGAAAGAAATTAAAGAAGATACAAATAAGTGGAAGCATATACCATGTTTATGGATAGGAAGAATTAACATCATTAAAATGCCCACACTACCCAAAAAATCTATAAATTCAACAAAATTTCTATAAAAATACCAATGGTGTATTTTACAGAACCTAAAACAAATAATCCAGAAATTTATAGGGAAAGACAAGAGACCTCCAAATAGTAACAGCAATCCTGAGAAAGAAGAATAAATTTGGAAATACACACTACCCAATATCAAACTATATTACAAGAACATAGTAATTAAAACAGTATGGTACTGGCATAAAAACAGACATAGATAAATGGAATGGAATACAGAGCCCAGAAATTAATTTGCACCTTTATGGTCAATTAATACTTGACAAAGGAAACAAGAACACACAATGGGATAAAGCTAGTTTATTCAATAAATAGCGTTGTGAAAACTGGACCAATACATGCAAAAAAATGAAACTAGACTGCCAATTTATACCATACATAAAAATAAACTCAAAATGAATTAAAGACTTAAATGTTAGACTCAAAGCCATCAAAAGCCTAGAAGTAAACATAGGCAATAAAATGTCAGATATTTCTTGTAGCAATATTTTTTCTCTGACATATCTCCTCAGGTAAGGGAAACAAAAGAAAAAATAAACAAATGGGACTACATCAAAGTAAAACTTTTGCACAGCAAAGGAAATCATCAACAAAACAAAAAGACAACCCACTGAATGAGAGGACATATTCACCAATGATACATCTGATAAGAGGTTAATATCTAGAATTTACAAAGAACTTACACAACTCAACACCAAAAAACCAAAATATTTAACTAAAAAATGGGCTGAGGACCTGAATAGACATTTTTCCAAAGAGGATATACAGATGGCCAATAGACATTAAAAGATGCTCAACATCACTAATCATCAGAGAAATGCCAATTAAAACCACAATTAAATATCACTTCACATCTGTCAGATTGGCTATCATCAATAAATCAACAAACAACAAATGTTGATGAGGATGTGGAGGAAAGGAAAACCTCATGCAATGTTGGTGGGAATGCAGATTGGTGCAGCCACTATGAAAAACAGTATGGAGTTTCCTCAAAAGTTTTCCTCCATAGGCAATTGACCAATAGTATGGGTCAACTGCCTTATGACCCAATGATTCCACTTCTGGGAATATACCCGAAGAAACCTGAACTACTAATTTGAAAGGATATATACACCTCTGTGTTCACTGCAGTGTTATTTACAATAGCCAAGATTTGGAAGCAGCCCAAGTGCCCATCAGTACATGATGGATAAAAATGCTGTAATACATTTATATAACAGAATATTATTTAGCCATAAAAAAAGAAGGAAATCTTGTATTTTGCAACAGCAGGGATGGACCTAGAGAGTATTATGCTAAGTGAAATAAGCCAGTCAAAGAAAGACAAGTACCATCTGATTTTACTTATAGTGAAATCTAATGAAAAAATAAATAAATAAGCTGACAAAATAGAAATACACTCATGGATACAGAGAACAAATTGACAGCTGTCAGAGGGGAGGGGGCTTGGCCAGCTGGGTGAAAATGGTGAAGGGATTAAGCAAAAAAAAAAAATCGTAGACACAGACAGCAGTCTGGTGATTAGTAGCAGGTAAAGGAGGTAGGGGAGTTAGAAGATGTTAAAGGGGAGATAAACAGTGCAGGAAAGACAGGAGGAGATTTGACTCTGGGTGGTGAACATATACTACGGTTTACAAATGATGTATTGTAGAATATACTTGAAAACTATATTTTTCAAGTGGGACTTCCACCAAGATGGAGGCATAGGTGAAGACGCCATGCTTTCTCCCACAACCAAGTTGAGAGACAATAAAATATTAGCAACAGAAAACACAGCCAGAACACAGAAAATTGAACTTTTTGGAAGTCTGATAACAACAAATTCTTCAGCCTCACCGGTAAGAGGGGCGAAGCCAGCAGCTGGTGGAACAGGGTTGCACAGGAAAACTCAGTCAGACAGACTCAGGCACGCGGAATCCAGGCGCAGGGTTGCAATGGGTGGAACCAGTGAGCGACCGTCGTACCCAGCAAGGGTGCAGGGCAGCGGGTTGACTGTGGTTCCGCAATCATGCGCAGATAGACCAGTGAGGGAGTGGGCAGTGAGACGATGGGACCGAGCAGGCCCCAGCAGTGAGAGGCAGTAGAGGGGGCCACCATTTCCCCACTCTGACCCCACCCCCACATACGCATCACAACCCAGCAACCTGGGCAGCCCCACCCTGGTGAACACCTAAGGCTCCGCTCCTCATACTTAACAAGCTCGGACAGACCAAAAATGGCTCAAGAAGATCTCAAAGCCCCAGAGCCCATAAATCTAAGCAATGAAGAAATAGGCAAACTTTCAGATGCACAGTTCAAAACACTGGTAATCAGGATGCTCACAGAACTGGTTGATTTTAGTCGCAAATTAGAGGAACATATGAAGGCTAAACTAATTAAAATGAAGGGAATTGCACAGAAAACCAATAGTGATGAAGAGGAAACTGGGACTCAAATCAATGGAGTGGACCAGAAGGAAGAAAATAATGGCCAAACAGGAAAATATGAAAAAACAAGAATTCTAAAAAAATGAGAAGAGACTTAGGAACCTCCAGGACATCTTTAAATGCTCCAACATCCGAATTATAGGGGTACCAGAAGGGGGAAAGGAACAGCCACCACTGGAAAACTTATTTGAACAAATAATAAAGGAGAATTTCCCCAATCTGGCAAAGGAAATAGACTTCCAGGAAATCCAGGAAGCTCAGAGAGTCCTAAAGAAGCTGGACCCAAGAAGAAATACACCAAGGCACATCATAATTACATTAGCCAAGATTAAAATGAAAGAGAGAATCCTAGAAGCAGCAAGAGATAAGGGGACAGTCACCTACAAAAGAGTCCCCATCAGACTGTCAGCAGATTTCTCAAAAGAGACCTTACAGGCAAGAAGGGGCTGGAAAGAGGTATTCCAAGTCATGAAATCCAAAGACCTACAACCAAGATTACTCTATCCAGCAAAACTTTCATTTAGAATGGAAGGACAGATAAAGTGCTTCTCAGATAAGATCAAATTCAAGGAGTTCATCATCTCCAAGCCCTTATTATATGAAATGTTAAAGGGACTTACCTAAGAAAAAGAAGATAAAAAAGATGAACAGTGAAAGGACAGCAAACTCACAGGTATTAAGAACCACACCTAAAACTAAAGCAAACTAAAAGGACAGCTAGATCAGGAGCAGAACCACAGAAATGAAGATCACGTGCAGGGTTAGCAACAGGGGAGTGGGAGAAGGAGAAGGGGGGAGAAGGTATAAAAAATAAGTAGCATAGATGGTAGGTAGAAAATAGATAGAGGGGAGGGCAAGAATAGTATGGGAAATATAGAATCTAAAGAACTTGAGACACGTGGTCATAAACTAAAGGGGGGGAATGGTGGGGGAGGGGGTGTGCAGGGTGGAGGGGAATGAAGGGGGGAAATAGAACATCTGTAATGGCATAATTAATAAAATATATTTAAAAAAATAAAACTATGTAATTTTCCCTGGCTGGTGTGGCTCAGTGGATTGAGCACTGGCCTGTGAACCAAAGGGTCACAGGTTCAATTCCCAGCCAGGGCACATGCCTGGGTTGCAGGCCAGGTCCCCAGTTGGTGGCACATGAGACACAACCACACATTGATGTTTCTTCCCCCCTTTCTCTCTCCCTTGCCCTCTGTCTAAAAGTAAATAAATAAAATCTTTAAAAAGAAATAAATTAATTAAATAGCTCATAAAAAAGAAAACTATGTAAGTTTATTAACTCACGTCACCCCAAAAATACAATAAAAATTAAACATAAAAAAGAAAGTAACTTTTTTAAAAGAACAAGTATCTGTAAGGGGGGTGGTATTACAGAAAGGAAGAAAATATTTCAAAACAGAATTATCTGGTAGGTTGTATATTGCTGAGCAGTCTAGGTCATCCCACAATCGAATTTCGATGGAAAAGGTATTTTTCTGCCAATCACTAGTCATTGAATAGGTAAATATGAAAAACAAAGGACAGCAATTGATTGATAAATTATTTAAATTAGTAAAAAATACTTTGTCAAAGATGTCAGATTACACACATGCTTCTATTTCTAATTCATTTGAAATACCCATAGAATCAGGGTAAACAAGGGCAAATGGTGTAACTAGCAAGGACAAAGGAAATGGGAAAGGAGACATTGTGGAGCAGGGGAAAAAAGATGTCAACCTATGCACATGTGACAACTGAATTATCAGAGTGGAGGAATTTGATATTTAGGTGCTTGCCTTCCAGAACATAGAAAAATTGGAGGCTCCAAGTATTGTCAAAGGTGAGAGACAGGTGAGAGCTAGAAGCAGGGGATTCGGTTGAAAACCTGTGTAATAAGTCACACATAGACACTCAGGTCCCCACATCTACACTTTGCAGTGGATGTTGGAATGAAAATATTGAAAGGTGCCCAGAGAATTAAGTAAAAGTCTACACATTGAACTGTGAGCTAACAAAGGCTCTTCCTGGCCTGTTCAGCTCTAAAGAGCCTGCAAGAATTGATAGCCCAAGACAGACAGTGAATTGCTCCTTAAGACAAGAGCTATAGTGATAACCTGGCAGTCCCCAGGAAAGATGCTGGCTGGTCACCCAGTTGCCCTACAATAAAGCCCATCAGTAAGCGAAGTGGGCCAATGCCCATGAACCTTCAAGAAGGACATAAAACTGTCCAAACAGAAGGAAGGAACTCTTCGGGAACATAAATAATGGAAAGGACAAAATAAAAAATATTTGCACTACAATATCCTTAGCAAGATATAAAAACATACTGAATCCATGAATAAAGAATAGGACACAATTTTTAAAAGAACATTCAGACAATAAGAAGAGCTCATAGAAATTAAAAATATGATAACTGGAAGAAAATATTCAGTCCAAGGGTTAGAAGATAAAGTAGAGAGAATCTCCCAGAGGTAGAAGAAAAAGATAAATAAATGGATAATAAGGAATAAATTTCAGAGGCTTGATACTGTTATTCTATCATACATCTACTGGGAGTTCCAGAAAGAATAGAGTAAATAGAAGAGATTATGAAAGATAATTTTCAGAATCGAAATACATGAGTTTTCAGACTTAAGGCAATACCAAGAACCCAGCAAACTAAGTGAAAAATAACTTGAAACAAGGCACACCATAGTAAAACATCAGGATACCAGGGATAAATAGATCCGAAAACTTTCTAAAGTGGAAAAAAAAGTCACATAAATATGATATAACTAAGGGGAAGCTGAAGAAATACACAAAATAGAAAGTCAGTAGTTTGTCTAAGACCTTTAAACGAAGAAATAGTGATCCAAACATATTATTTACAACAAGATTTCAACCCCACACCATGTATATTACATTGCTTGTCACGGCGACTGCCCTGTGCCCAGTAAGGTGTTCGGCAGCACCCCTGGCTTCTACCTGTGAGATGCCAAATAGCAACCCTTGTCCTCGGTCATAATAATAAAATGTCTCTATACATTGTCAAAGGTCCCCGGGGGCAAAACATCTCCACTGAGTACTGCTGATTTAGAAAAATGGAAATAAATGACAGAAAAACAGCTAAGAGGGTTGGAGGTGAGGGCCTCTGTAGGTGGGCCGTGGAGGTCAGGCAGAAGAGTGCGGCTCCTCCCCAGGGCCTTCTAGTACTGCTTCACTTCTTTTTTTAAAACTACAAATATCAGTTTCTTTGTGAGAGACAAAATTTGTTTTTTAAAGATGACAACATCCAAGTGTCTATATTATTAAATGTGAAACAGAAATGCTTTCCCAACTTTTTTTGCTAAAATTATTTTTAGTAACATGACACTGAAATTATGTGAATTTTCTAGTTATCTCAGATGGTTGGATGAGGCCCCAATGCTGAATAGGCTTTAAATACCCTAAAGGGGTATTTAAAGGCAGTTAATACCCCAAAGCTATTTATTGCCTCCATATTCTGAGGAGGAATTCCAGACCATCTATGTAAAACATGAGTGAGAGAAATAGGCTGCTATTTAGAAGTACAATGAGGATTTTCTAGAGGTGAAAGCCCTATGTATGTCCTTTCCATCTAAAATCATGGAAGGAAGGAAGCACTGCAAGAGAACCAGTCAGCTACCGGACATGTGTCCCCTGGAGTTTTCGGGAATCGTTGCCTAATTCTTGCAAGGAAAAAGAAATCTACAAGTAAAAGGGTGTGAACTGCCCATTATTGCAGAGTAAAGAGAGAGACCTCCCGTGGGTATGGCCTGCACTTCCAAATTTTCTTGGGTCAAGGTGCCAAACTTTGCCTTTGGATAACTGGGTGTCCCGAAGGTAACCAGGCTTGGCTCATTTAAAAGGTACCCACCCAAGAAGACAGCCTACAGGATGAGCCTGGATGCAATGTAAGAACCTGGGACCTGTAAAGGCTGAGGTCAGGGGGAGGGGCTTTACACTGGCCAGGGAACTGGTACAGAGGCAGTTCCTTATGGAAAGAACCCACAAAGAAACCACGAAATCACCCCACTAGAGAAACAGTCCGCATTTGGGCATCAACACCAGATTACAACTGTGCCAGTCAAGTAAGACTTCCTGCCCTTATCTAAAATTGGGGAAGAATAAAGCAGAAAAAAATATACCTCCTGGCGTAGAGGAGATGACAAGGGAAACTCTCAGCCTGTACCCTCTTAAGCACAAAAGTAGAATTATGTGTAGGTTCAGGGTGGAAGAGCGGGCCAATTAGGAAGGTTAACACAGTGTTCACTTGTTTGTCAGAGATAAAGAACCAGTACATGGATGAAACTGGAGAGCGTTATGCTAAGCGAAATAAGCCAGGCAGTGAAAGACAAATACCGTATGATCTCACCTTTAACAGGAACCTAATCAACAGAACAAACAAGCAAGCAAAATATAACCAAAGACACTGAAATTGAGAACAGGCTGACAGTGACCAGAGGGGAGAGGGGAGGGAATTTCAAGGGAAAGGGGTGAAGGGTTTTCAGGAACAAGTATAAAGGACACATGGACACTAACAGGGAAAGGGGGGTGGAAACGGGAGGGAGGTTGGGAGGGCTGGGGGGTGGGCTGGAGGGGAAGGCAGAAAACTGTACTTGAACAACAATTAAAATTAAAAAAATTAAAAAATAAAGAACCAATAGGAAAATACATATGAACCTGTTTTCTAACGACCTCCCTGTTTCTCTTTGGTATTTAATCCCACAGGTTTAGCCTTCGCAATGTTGGCGGCTGTGCCTCCGGTGTTTGGCCTGTACTCTTCATTTTACCCTGTTATCATGTATTGTTTTTTTGGAACCTCCAAACACATATCCATAGGTAAAAGCTGATACTTGATATTTTAGTACCTTTCCTTTTGGATTTCTAAGTTTTGCAATGTGGCAAAAAAAAATAGTGTGTTTGTTATTAGAACATCTGCTTAATAATAACTTGTTTAATAATATTAAAAATAATATTAAGCAGTAACTTGATTAATAACTTACTGCATACCAATGGGTAGTTTTAAAAATATATTCCCCCCAATATTTCTAGAACTAATAGCTTTCTTATCATCTTGGCATAATGAAAAAAAGACAATTTCATTATGTAAGAAGAGCACTTGATAAAATCTGTGAAATAAGTGCTTTAGTTCATAAATTTGCTTGCATCTGGTTTTTCTTTCTATTTATTTTATTAGTGGTACTTCAAGTTACTAATTACTGTACATGTATTGCATTTTCACCTGACTTTAGGCTCTGAATTGTACATGGATTCCCTGTAGTGTGTTTAGTATCAGATTTATGTGGATTATATAAGTGTTGGTGCTACATGAGACTGCCACCAGCAAACACAGGCACAATGTTTCAAATGTCCATTCCTTGATAAGAAATACCTCCCAAATTTAGCAGCTTAAAACAAGAGTCATTTTATTATGGGCCACAACTCCTGTGGGCAGGATTTGGGAAAGGCTCATCCCGGCAGTTCTGGCTCAGGGTCTCATGCAGTTGAGAGTCAGAAGAGAGGTGGGACCAGAGTGGCTGCAGGAAGCCTGAATCAATCAATCTCTCTCTCTCCCTCTTCTCTTCCCCTCGGTTCCCGGTTCCCCTCTCTCCCCTCCAGTCTCCCCTCTTATTTCTCTCCAAGTGGTCCTAATTGGAGCTTTCTCACACTCAGGGCTCTTGCACAAGCAAGTGTAACAGCTCTCAGATGAAAGCTGCATCACCTTTTGTTTTCTAGCCTCAGAAGTTGGCAGTATCTCTTCTGCTGCATTCTTTCCATTACCAGTAGGTTTCAAGTCCTCCCAGATTCAAGGGATTAAGAATCAGTCTACCTCTTATGGGGAAATGTCAACAACCCAGAAGTCTATGGAATGGAAGATACCATCATAGTCATTTTTGAAGAATACAGTCTGCACACACACAGTTTACATATGAACCACAAGCAGTAGTTTAATGCTTACAGAGAGCAATGCAACTTTTATTTCAAAGATGAGTTATTGACTTCACTTGTGTTCTCTTAGGGTACTGGCAACAATCACATCAGAGACACTGAAAATGATTTCCTTCATTAACGCTTTATTTTTTCAGGTCCATTTGCTGTTATTAGCCTGATGATTGGTGGTGTGGCTGTTCGATTAGTACCAGATGATATAGTCATTCCAGGAGGAGCAAACGCAACCAATGGTACAGAAGCAAGAGATGCTTTAAGAGTGAAAGTCGCCATGTCTGTGACCTTACTTGCAGGAATCATTCAGGTAAGACTCACAGATGGGGAAATGGGTTCTCATGTGTTCATTTCAGAACTACCTATTGAGCACTCTTGGCTTGTCTACATGGTGGGTAGGGTCAGTCTGCAAGAACCCAGAGCTCAGGGTTCATGGCACTCAGGAACACCAGCCCAACTAACCATATGCCTAACTTGAATGGGCATTCATTAGGAGCTAGCAAGCTTTGGCTGGGTACTTTAGAGATCCCAAAAGCAAGAAAAACTTGAAGCAAGATTGGTTAGTAATAGGAACATGTCTTCTCTTATCTACTTGGAAGGAACAGGAAATGACATTGACAAAACATGTCCCCAGTTCGGAGGGACAGGGAAAGTAGAGTGTGCCCAATGCTCTTTGGGACTCCAAGCCATTGCAAACCTTCCGGTGTTTTTGTTCAACCGGTGGTTGATTTGTTAACCTCTGAACTGCTGCAGGTGCAAGTTTGCAGTGTTGGAAAGTGTTCTGGAAAGAACTTTTGTAATATTTTCTGCTGGTTTTAACTCCTCGATCTATCATGTGATTTATTTGTTTCTTTGTCATTTAAAAAAATAGTTTTGCCTAGGTGTCTGCAGGTTTGGATTTGTGGCCATATATCTCACAGAGCCCCTGGTGCGTGGCTTTACCACGGCGGCAGCTGTGCATGTCTTTACCTCCATGTTAAAATACCTATTTGGAGTCAAAACAAAGCGGTACAGTGGGATCTTTTCAGTGGTATATGTAAGTAAGCAATTTACTGGTACTAGTTTTTCCTTCTTTATTTCCCTCCTTCTGTATCTCTGTTACCTTCAAGGGCCGCTTTTTTTGAAGAAGAAGAAGAATTGTAATAAAATTAAAAAGATTTAATTATTCTAAAGCTTTTCTGAAAAGAACACTACAAAAGGAATTAAACCTTAATTTTTATTATTATTTTATTAATGTGTGGTACTGCTTACCTCACAAGGAAATTTTTGTTAGGTCTTAATTTGGTGGCTATACCTTTACCCCAACTAGCTAAAAAGACAGCTTTTTATTGAGACAGAATTATGTTCTCTTTGGGAATTAACAAATAATTTAAAGGCATTATGGGAGAACCTATCTCTCTCAAAAAATTCTTACTCTTGCAGGCAAAATAAAAGTCTATAAAAGATTTGACTAACATAATTAACTAGTTTAATCTAATAAAATATATAGAGACCCTTGCACCCAACTCAGATAAAATGTAAATTCTTTGTAATTACATAGGGAACAGAGGTAATAGCTTATATGTGAAACTGATCACAAATTCTAAAAATTTAGTATTTTTTTCCACTGAGAGTATTATAATTAGCAATCAATAACTAAATGTAGCTCTAAAAACCCCCATCCATTTAGAAACCAAAGCAGCTACTTATAAGTAACCTATGGATAAGGGAAATTTTGATATAATTAGAACTAAATGACAGTTAAAGTACTACATATAAAACTTCTGAGATACTGCTAAAGCTATTCCTGGGCAGGAAGATTTATAGCCTTTAAGTATTTACGTGCCAGACATTGTGCTAGGCACAGCAGTGAGTGAGCAGAGGTGACCCTTGCCCTCTTAGAACTTATAAGTCAATGGGAAAACAGATAACAAATCCTTAATTGCATAAATATGTAATTAATTATATATTAATTGAATGCTGTGAAGAAAAGGCACTGACTGCCAATAGGGAAACCTTTAGATTAGGGGTTTAGGAAAGTCACTTTGAGTCCATTTAAATTGAGTCCTTGGTGGATTAGAATGGAATCAAACTGTAGGAACCTTCCCCAAATAACTAACTTCTTCGCGTCCCATAATAGCGGGTAACATGTCTTTCTCTGAGATTTCTCTGAATGCCTTGTCACGCAGGAACTAGAACAGATGAGCACCTGAGTCCGCTGTGAGTGTATGCTGAGTAAGCAACTTGTGTGGCTTGGACTCAAGGGTGACCTACTTTCCCAGAGTCCAGATGAGTATTGACTATATTTAGGGTGCTGAAATTGCAACCCTAGGGATAATTAAATGGCTTTAACTCGCCTGGGCATCTTTTCAAACTTCAGCACCCTCTTGCCTTCAAAGCTCACCTGATTTCTCTTTCATCTGCGAACAGTGATTTCACTCTCTCAGCTCTTAGAGGCTTTTCTATGTATTAACTAACCTTTGGGTTGTTTTGCTGGTATCAGCCCCTACTCTTTCCTAATGCTTACTCTTCTGAATTTTATAATACTACATTGACACATTAGCATATCAAAGAACCCTATGAGATTGTTGGATAAGAATTACAACTTTAAAGTTGTATGAATAGATAAGAATGGCTCCTAACTGGAAGCTCCAAAGAGTGAGATTTCAGCCTGAGAACCTTGACTCGCACCGTCCAGTAGTGGGATGGCTGGTGTGAATTAGTGCGCGAGGGCATCTCCGTCTACTCCGAGGCTACTGCTTGATATAAACTCCCAGTGTTCACTGTGTTACAGAGTACAGTTGCTGTGTTGCAGAATGTTAAAAACCTCAACGTGTGTTCCCTAGGCGTCGGGCTGATGGTTTTTGGGTTGCTGTTGGGTGGCAAGGAGTTTAATGAGAGATTTAAAGAGAAACTGCCGGCACCCATTCCTTTAGAGTTCTTTGCGGTAAGTCAACTTTCAGCTATTTCTGTGAGACTGTAGAAGTGGATGGGAGGAACAGGGAATTAGACCTTTTCCTCTCACTTCTGCCAAGAGAAGGTTAGAATTTGCAAGGGGAGCATTTGAAAATACAATGACTAGGAAGAAAAGTCATAGAATGGATGATTCTTAAAATACGGGTAAAGACTATTCATAAATATTTTACTGTGAATTGTCTGTGAGTAATGAGATAAGAGGAGATTTTTCTTCCTCAGTATTTTTATTTTCTAGTTATTTTATAATTAACACATATAACTTTAACAACCTGGGGGAAATTGAGCTGTTTCAATTCTGAAAACAGCAAAAGACAAAAGTTCCCAAACTTTCTTGGTTCCTGGCACTCCTGGGCCAAAAGAAATATCTAACACTTTCATTCAGTGACTAATTAGGTTCAGACAACTTAATAAATATTTGTCTAACAACTTAGGAACTATTTATTAAAATAATGCAAATAAATTAAAATAAAATATACACTTATTACACTGTTAAATAGCCACAATATATTAATGGGCTGTGTGCAGCTGACAGGCACTTCACAACTCCTCAAACCCTGGAATCAGATGGGCACCACTCCCCTCAGTTCCTGTTGACTTTGACTGCATGGGACCTGCTTGTTACAGCAGCAGCCACTGATGCCCAGCTTTTCAAAGTAATAGTGTGATCCACAGGAATGTAGTGGGAACTGATGTGGAAATTGTGAACTGCTTCAAACCAAGGGTCTAACAGATGTCACTGTTTTCCTTGAAAGTTCTATCCTGCAGTGTCCTGGTGAGTTCCCCTTGGCATCCTGGAGCACCTTGGTGCATAATTTGGGAACCATAAAAATAAACAATAAAAAACATAGGTGTCCAACCCAAATTTAGCCAAAAGTTCGAGCCACAAAACCTAGGGACCAATATTATAACTCATGAGGAAACCAAGTCCTTAGATCCTTCTCTGAGCTTCCGTCTGCCTACATCCCAACAGGACTGTTCCAAAACCTGGCCTCTCACTGGGGCTGGGCACAGAACTCCTGCTTCCTCTGGGAGGAAAGCAAGAGGTTCTCAGCAAAGGAGACAGGCAAGCCCTAAGTGTGAAATAAATGACAAAAATTGCCCTTTCTGTCTTGGTTCCTGGCTTGGTTCCTGGCTCTGTCCATTTTCCATTGTCCCTTCATGTTTCATAGGGCAGTGGTTCTCCAGAATTTTATCATTGTAATTACAGCAAGCCAGTGTTTTTACATTTCTTATCTAAGTTCTCCTCAGAGCAAGGGAAACAATAAAAAATAAAAAAAACATTTTGGAGTTTTGCATTCTGTTTCATAATATATTTGTATTGATAGGAAAGCAGGGTGTAAATTATTTACCACTGCATGAAGTTGATGCTCCAGAAACTTAAGCCATATTCATCCTGTGGATTTGAATATTCTGGGCCCCACTGAATACTCCCGCATTTGAGAGGTACAATAAATACAATTAAGGATGACACACATAATTTCCACCAACAAAAAAGGGGCCGGAAGCACCCATGCACTTGGCCTCCAGGCTGCAGTGTCTGATAAGCTTACCTTGAACAGGGCTCTCTGCACAGCCACCCTGCAAGGGGCCTGCTTCCTTCCCTGCACAGCCCAAATTCCTTCTCTCCTCCACAACCCACTCAGGGTTCTGCAGCTATAGTTCTTCAGGAGGAATAAAATTGCTAGCCTTCCTTCTGTTATTTCTCTCTTCTTGAAGCTCACTAAGGATTGTACTTCACACACTAACCAAATCTATGCCCTGACAATCCAGGAAGCCTGTGCCTGGTGCCATGCCCGTGGGATGGGCACTTTCACTCTGACCCGGATTGAAATGAGGGAAGGCAGCTACAGGGTGCTCTAACCACACACGGTGCTGCTGTGCAGTGAACAGGGTCGGCAGGAGGATGGTAGGCCCAGACATAGATTTTATAAGGATCCACTCTCGTTGAACCATTCTCATAATACAGACTTCAGTGGCCTTTATTCATACCATGTTATCAGAGATGCATTTCACCTGGCCCACATCGCAGCCAACTCCTGAAAGGTTTTATAGCCTCTTCTGCTTGCAGGCAACTAGCCAAACACCTCATCATGGAACAGACCAAACAGAGAGAAACGAATTCCAGGCCACAAGGAAACTGTGGAGTCCATTTTAATTTTGTGGGGAGAGTCATTAGGAGAACTTAGAATTGCTGGAAGCTAAATATAATTCTTCTTTCCAAAATGGAAAGTTAAAGCAGGAGTAGTTTTGGCTTGGCTAACAAATTGTTTGAAGCTCATTTTTGTGGCATTCAGATTTTCATCTATAAAGGACACTTGGGTTTGTGTGTGTTTTAGGTGGTAATGGGAACTGGCATTTCAGCTGGGTTTAGCTTGCACGAGTCGTACAACGTGGACGTCGTTGGATCACTTCCTCTGGGGTAGGAAAACAGTTTTAAGTAATAGTACGACTTGAATAACTGATCTATTATGCCATCTAACTCCTGCTTTAGTATTCTTGCAATGAAAAAACCTCTTTTTTCCTACATATCACATAGCTGAGGGTTTGGGAGTGGGGTTTGGCGGTTTTGTTGTGTATTTGTTTGTTAGTGTGCGCATGGGTTTTTCCTTTTTTCTGATAAGAGACATAAAATTTACCATTTAATCATTTTTAAGTGTACAGTTCAGTAGTGTTATGTATATTCGTAGTACTGAAAAACAGACTTCTGGAGCCTTTTCATCCTGTAAGTCTGATTCTCCGACCAGTCCCCCAGCAACTCTCTATCTCCCTGGCCCAGTCCCTGGCAACCATCATTCCACTTGTTGTCTCTATGAATCTGACTACTATAAGGTACCTCGTATAAGGGGAATCATATAGCATTTGTCTTTTTTGTGACTGGCTTATTTAGTTTAGCTTAATGTCCTCAAAGTTCATTCATGTGGTAGCATATAACAGGATTTTCTTCCTTTTTAAAACTGAATAAAAGTAAACAGTATATATGTGCCAATGTCTGTGTATTCATTCATCATCAGTGGGGAGTTGTGTTGCCTCCACCTCTTACTGTTGTGAATAGTGCCGTGAACACACCACAGATGTCTTTCCGAGACCCTGCTTCTGGATGTTTGCCCAGGAGTGAGACTGCTGGATCATGTGATAGTCCTATTTTTAACTTCGTGAGGAGCCAACCTCCAGGCACTGTTTTCCGTGGTGGTGGTACCATCATACAGTCCCACCAGCAGTCGCATGGGGTGTTCTGTTTTGTTTTGTTTCCTGTTGTTTATGCGTGTTGGTTTTTAAAACCTCTGCTTGCGTGACTAGGAATTAAGCAAAAAAACCTAAATCTAGCCTGCCACTTTCATCTAGCTGTGTGACCTTGGGCTAGTCACCTATCCCCTCAAAGCCTCAGCTTCCTCTCCTGCCAGGAGAGCATGGTAATTAGTACCTGTCTCAAGGGCCAGGGAGAGCGTTTCAGGACTAACGTGTGCCCAGCAGTGAGTGTAGCACCTGACTCACACTGTAGTGTTCAAGACACAGTAATTGAAAGTTCTGTGGTTCATCTTTTCTAGTCTAATCATATCTTGCTTCTTGCTTCATTTTTTTTCTTTTCTCTAACTCTACATTTTGTGCTATTCTCTTTATTTGAAGGACAAGAGTGACTATGAGCCTCTCCTGGCCTCACTCTGTTCCTCTCACACACTCTGCCTGTCTCTGTGTCTCTATCTCCTACACTATCTCTTTCATCACCCTCTTCTCTTCCCAAAACAACCAAGTCAAACATTTTCCCAGATGTTGTAGACTGACAGAGCCTGGCATATTCATCAGACCTTGCCTCTACCTTGCCTCTACTCCCGTCTAAGATTCTTGTGAGAAGTACAGGGAGCAGGAGTTGCTCTTTAAGAAAAAGTTCACCCCCCAGAGCAAGTGTTGATGGAGGAAGCATGCGCACTGCTTCAAACAATAAATTGCTATTATGAACATGTTGCTTATGATTCAATTTAAAGGTATAACATGGTATAGTAATGCTTGCTTTTCTATTTGGACTTGTAATTCTCTCAGTTGCTGCTCACAATAACACTACTGACAAATACATACATTATCCCCATTTTACTAAGGTTTATTTATTCTCATTTATTCTGCTTGTGTTTATTGAGAGCCTATTAATGTGCCAGAGGCACAGCAGTTAAAAGCAAAAGCAAACAGATAAGCAAAAAAGCCTTTGTTCTCATGGAGTTTATTCTACTAGGGGAGAGAGACGAGCAAATAGTAAGGAGAGCCATGAAGAAAAAAGAAGCCAGGAGAGGGAATAGGAGGGGCTGGGGTTGCTTTTCTCGGTAGAGTATCAGAGAAGGCGACATTTGAGAGACGTGAATGAGGTGTAGTGCCTTGCAGTGAGTCCCAGCCTGGACCCAGAACTCAGTCTTCCGATACGCAGTTGTGTGCACTTTCCATTACCTCACACCTGAGTCACTAGCATAATCAGTCATGTGATAAACATTGGTCTGTGACTGGAACCAGGAGATAACCTTACTGAATAACCAACCACAAATAATTGAATAAATTATTCAAATGTTTATGCTTAGACTTCTTTTAAAAATCCACACGCCACCATAATTTTTAATTCTTTCCCTATCGCATTGTACCTAAACATGCTTTGCCTTCTAAAACAGCTACGTTGTTGTTGTTTTTTTTAAATAATATTTTAGGTTTCTGTAACTTGGCTACTCGGAAAGCTTATCTTTCTGGAATTTTGCCCAAAACCAAGCAGAAAACAAGTAATGTCTTCCTACCTATCTATATACAGGGTAGGCCAAAGTAGGTTTACAGTTGTTCATACGGGAAAATGTATAATAACTAATAAATAATAATACAAGAATAAACTGTTTTGCCTGATCACAACTGTAAACCTAAACCTACTTTTACTCCACCCTATATAACCAGACTGTTTCAGTTATCTGTGAGTCTTATTGCTAAATAACAAACAGCTCCAAAACAGTGGCTTCCAGCAACAATTTTTTGCTCACAATTCATCAGTCTAGGTAGAGCTCAACTGCTTCTTTTGCTGGTCTCATGCAGCTGTCCGTTTCTAAAGGTGTGCCTGGAGGATCCAAGAGGGCTTTGCTCCATATCTGAACCCTCAGCCAGCAGGCTAGAACTGCTGAGGGCTGGCTGGCATCTTCTCTCCACATGCTGTCTCCAGCAGGGTAGACAAACTCTTTTCATGGTGGCTCAGGGCAGAACAGAAAAGCAGAAGCCACCTGGCCTCTGAAAGCATTCACACAACTTCACTTTTCCCACATTATCTCGATCAAAGCAAACCGCAAGTTTCAGCCAGAGGGGAAGCAGATCCCACCTCTACGTGGGAAAGCAGCACATACAAGGATGGGAGGAATTGTTGGTCATATTTGAGAGCAAACTACCACACTTATTAGTGACACATACAGAAACATATACACAATAGTGTCCAGAAAGTGACAGTTGACTAGTAACGATCCCAGTTGTGGCAATATATCCCGTCTCTTGGTTTACTTTCCTTAACTCATTCCAAAATAAATCCTTTTCTCAAATTCTTATTCCTCAGACCTAAACCTGCCTCCTGGTCTTCCCTCTTGGTTCACTTATATAGCAAAGTACAAGGGAAATATATATGTTTCATAGTCAGATACCTCCCTCCCCGCCCCGTTTGACTCCATGCGCCATCTTGGGCAAATTACTTGACAACTGTAATCATTCATTTTTTTCACCTATAAACTGGGATAACAATGGTACCTATCTAATAGGATCATTTTGAGGACAAATGAGATGACATTAGTCAAGCAAGTAACACATAATCTAGGCTGTATGTATGTTAGGTTTCTTTCCTCTCTCCCTCTCCTTTTCCTTTACCCCAGAACTTGAGACATCCCCTTTTGTCACTGTGATATGACATAGTAAGAGAAATAGGCACAAGGAGGTGTGTTCTTCATGATTTTTGTTTATTTAGTTGATGAGCTATTTGACCTTGGGCAAGTTGCTTTACCTTACTATGCCTCATTTTTCCCATCTGTAAAATGGCCATTACTATGGTGTCTACCTCACAGGGCTACTGGAGATAAATAAGCACAGAACTTGGCACAGAGGAAACACCCAATAAATGATTGCTATTGTAAGAATAATAATATTGTGATTAATTCATTGATTGCTGTTATTGTTATTACTTAGCCCAATGCCTTGAATTGGAGCAGATGGCTTTGAAAACCTCTACTGCTCCCTCCCCTAGACCATTCTAGGGAATCCCTATTTTTTTCCTTTAGGACAAAGTTTCCTACCCATAAGAATGCACCGCAAAAATCAGGTTGCCTGTTTTCGGGCTTCAGGAGTCACACTTTTGGCTCCTTCAGACTCCCAGGATTCCCAGGTGAGACCCAAGGAGTAAAATTTGTTGCTGCTCCTTTCCCATGTCAGAAACTCACCTGGGATCCTGGGAAGAAGCAGAGTCCTTACATGAAATTACGAGAAAGGGCAATGAGTGCCTGCTGTAACATGCTCAAACAGTACTTCTCCTATGAGATAACCCTTGTCCGACACCCTCCCTGCCCTCAGACTTTGGTTCAAATGTCTTGTGGCATCAGACACTTCACTGACCCTCTCTTCTTCCTGTTCTGTGTCTTACTTACACCTACTGTACAGGTGCCATGAGGTATAAGGTTACTCTTTTTCTAAATAAACCAGTATCTGATCTCTGCTGATAACCCATTCACCTGGTACCTGGGGTTGGGGCCTGGAAAGAACCTCTGAGTGTCCAGGAGGGCCCTCCTTTTTGCCAAACTAGAGCAAACAAATATCCAAGCATTGATTATCTCCTTTGCAAATAGTGCCCATCTAATATGCTCCCCTTTAGTTGCATGTTTTTTCCCTAATGGCCACAGCACTTGTGATAAATTCCACTTGATCTTTCAGGCTTCTACCTCCAGCCAATCCAGACACCAGCCTCTTCCACCTCGTGTATGTGGATGCCATCGCCATAGCCATTGTTGGGTTTTCAGTGACCATCTCTATGGCCAAGACCCTGGCAAATAAACATGGCTACCAGGTTGATGGCAATCAGGTAAAAGCCATTAATTTCCTGCAGCTGTTTCAGAGCAATACAATTATCATGCTCTGCTATGAAAGGCAGATGAACTTGATTTCTCTGTCTTGGTAGAAAAATTTGTAAGTTTGACAATGGATGTATTTGAAGTATGAATTTATTCAACACTATAATTTTTTATAATTTATGTATATTTGATCATAAGAACACTGAGGTAGAGTCTGACCTCACCTCACAGGCAGAGGTCAGCTAGACAGGTGAAATATCCAGTCTGAGGTTTTCAGTTTATCATACTCCTATTGATGTTATCACTATTGATTTTTTTATTTTTTAGTTGTATGTTTCAATTATGGTTGTCATTCAGTAGATGTTATCACTTCTTAAAGCTCACAGATTAAGAATAAAATATTTCCCAGAACCACTTTTACTCCACAGGAAGGCTTCTCTTTGGTCATTAAGCTTGGAGTATGTGATTCATAACTCACACTCAACAGTACATTCTTTGTCGCCATCTTTTATAACATAGCTAGAGGGGAGGCGTTTAATCTGGATACTGCTAGCTAGTTTGGGCATGACGACAATGTCTGTTTTAACATGCTGTGTTTCTAAAAGGAGCCTAGATACTCCTCATTCATGTGACGCACAGTGATTTAACCAGGACGACCAGAAGTGGCCCTCAGAGCAGGGCTCGCTCACTGCCCCAGGAGGACACTGGCATGGACTCCTGGCATAGTACACCATAGTCTGGTGCACTGTACCTTTCACTTAAACAACAACATATTTTGTCTCTTTTGTTGTGGTCCTTTTTTAAAAATCATTATTTATTTGTATAGGGAGTGTTTGGGTAAGAGGGGCCTGAGCACAGCATTTATCTCCAACATTAAAAATTCAAAGTGCTTCCCTGCACTTTAAATTTTTGAGCTCACACTAAACAAATTCTTATATCCAAAAAGAGAATGAAGAAACAGCCTATACTGCTGAAAATTATATGGGCCATCACACCTTTCTGTGTAAGAAATAACTGATTTCTTTTGTGCTTTGTTTCCATGTGGGAAAGGAGCTCATTGCGCTGGGACTGTGCAATTCCACGGGTTCACTCTTCCAGACTTTCGCAATTTCATGCTCCTTGTCTCGGAGCCTTGTTCAGGAGGGGACTGGAGGGAAGACACAGGTATGTGTACCACTGGCCTGTCAGGATTTGGGTGGTAATTACATTTTAATGCCTTGGTTCTAGTCTGACCCCTAAGCTACTCTGCCTGAAGATCCATGCTCCAGTGAGCTGCATGGCGAATCAGAGGAAGGTATGATTGATTAAAGCAAATCGTAAGGAGCTAAATCTATAGGAAAGAGGTCTACTGCCCAGTTAAATAAAAAAATTATACTTGCTACCAGTAAACCTCCAAGTTGAGACCTGGGATGTTAGCATGAAAGCCTGGGAACTTTCTGTATCAGTTGAACATTCTACATTGGTGGAAATATTCAGTATTTACACCACCCAATAGGGCAGCCATGTTCCACATGTGGCTCTCAAGCACTTAAAATATGGCTAGTGCAGTCAAGACCTGTATTTTAAGTTCATTTAATTTTAATTTTTTTAAATGTCAATACTACATATGGCTAGTGGCCACCACATTGGACAGCAGAGTCTTGTCTGTAGTCTTCTGGCTCTTGCAGGTCTCAGATCAGCACCAGACTTCTCCTTTTCCCCATTCCTGGCAAGAACATTTCAGTCAGGGTGTTAAAGCATTTCAGCTTGTGTTTAAAGGCTATAAGAGGAACTAGAACTTTGGAGAAGTACTAAGAACTTACAGGTTTATGTAATGGTTTGGATGACTTGTTTGAATCCATATTTTCTTGATCGTCCCACATTGATTATCAAAAGACTCAGACCAACCTATGCCAGTCTCTTACTCATCTCATAAAAGCTCCTTCCGTGTCTTTTCTTACTCAGCTTGCAGGTTGTTTGGCCTCGTTAATGATTCTGATGGTCATATTAGCCACTGGATTCCTCTTTGAATCGTTACCCCAGGTGTGTAGCTTGGACTTGGTGTGAGATTGTCCATGTGTACAGATTTTGCTGTATCATTTGTTTATATTCTGGGGGTCTGTCTCATAGGTTTTTACTGTAACCCTAGCAGGGTGATTTGAAAAAGGTCCAAGGCTAAGACCAAGATCCTGATCTAAAATCTACTGATCCCTGCGACCTTGGGAAAGCCATCTCAGCGTCTCTGGGTTGCATATAAACTGTCAACTGGCTAATCTCCAAGGTCCCTTCTCTCTTTGATCTTCTCTGACCTTATAGTTCCATTTAAAATTTGATATGGCCTATACCCATAAGACATTGTTTTACTGATCTATTTAATCTAGTAGAGATTAAAAACAATATAGAGAAAATCATAATGTAGAAATACCATGGGTGAAATAATTCCTTGAATACCAAATTTAATTGTGAACCTCTTGACTACCATGCAGGTTTGCTGCTAGAATATAAGCCTGGTTTTCCAAGGCCCATTTTAGCTAATCAAGTCCTGAAAATCCAGGTGTTCATGGCTCCAAATGTACCATCACTGCCGCGTAGGAAGTGAGTGGGGAGAGGATGTGGGAGGGCAGCAGGAGGACAGTGAGGAGCCAGCAAAGGGTGTTCTTAGACACAAGAGCAGAGGCAAGCATGGGTGTGCTGTGTTTCAGGCTGTGCTGTCTGCCATTGTGATCGTCAACCTGAAAGGAATGTTTATGCAATTCTCAGATCTTCCCTTTTTCTGGAGAACCAGCAAAATAGAGCTGGTAAGTAACAAAGGTCACTGTTAGGTGAATATGTCATAGCCAACACATGGATTAGTGCTGATAAAAATGCAAGAGGTAAGTTAGTGCAATCAGTTGTTATATGCAGCATCCAGTTAGGCAAAATTACGTACCATGTGTACATGTGCGTGAGTATGTGTGACTCTAAAAAATTTTTAGCAGGATTCTACATAAAGCTTTCTGTCTTTTGTTCAGACCATCTGGCTTACCACTTTTGTTTCCTCCTTGTTCCTGGGATTGGACTACGGTTTGATTACTGCCGTGATCATCGCACTGATGACTGTGATTTACAGGACACAGAGGTGAGTGCACAGATTGGGATGGGTGTGAATTTCCTGCCTGAGATGGCAATGTTGACTTTAAACGTACTTGTCGGCAGACTGTGAATGTCTTGACTGTGGAGGTGTGCTCCTGGAGTCCAGGATCAGGCATATGGTGTGTTCTCTGAATGCTTATTGAGGGAATCCACCCAGAAAATCATCTAATATTTGTATTGTATATTCTAACTCACAAAGAAGCACTAGCATCTACCTGCTAAGAAGCACCAGGACACAGTACAAGATCATGGAATGTTGGCTCAAAGACCTTAAGACATATTCTGGCTCTCAAAGCTCTCTGACCTTGGGCAACTCACTGAACCTCACTGGGCCTCAATTTCTCAAACAAAGCTTAAGAAAACTTTTTTGGTAACTGGAGATTTTTGTTTTCTCTCCACCCACATCAGAGACTCTTAGAAACCACAAAAAAAGAATAAAAACCCTCTTCTTCTACTTTAGAGTTAGAGTAAGAAGACAATTCTACCTGCTGAGTAGAATGAGAACTTGAGTTACATGTGGCATGACTTGAACTCTGCATGGTTCATTTTTGCCCTCATCTTTAAATGCCCAAGTATTTTGTCCTGACCAGGTTATTGGTATGGTGGTGTGTATGATGTGTATGTATATATTTGTATGGTATGAGTGTGCAATTGCACTGTGTATTGTGTGTATGTGGAGAGTGTGTGTCATATGTAGTGCATGTGAAGTTAGTGTGATGTCAGATGTGTTTGTATGGGTGAATCATGTATGTTGGGGTTGAAGTGAAGAGCATGTGTGGTGTGATGTGTGGAAAGTATGAGGCTTGGAATGGCGCTGGGAACGTGACATATGTGGAGCCCTTCTGCAAAGGCACTGTGTAGGGATCAAATATCCCTGAATTTACTGGCAAATCCATACATGAAATGTGCAAAACCTCATGTTTCAGTTACGTACTGGGCCTCAACACAATGCTATATTTTAACACACTCACTCTCTATCTTCAGTCCAAGCTACAAAGTCCTTGGACAGCTTCCTGACACAGATGTGTATATTGACATAGACGCATATGAGGAGGTAAGACCTTTTCTGTCATTTTAAATGGTTGTAAGCTGTGAGCATGTGATGTAATTGGCTAATTTTATTTTCACCTAAGACAAAAAGTGGGAGTGAAATGAAGGGAAGTGCAGCGGTCAAAGTGAAAAACCTGAAAAACTTACTGCCTGGATTCGGTTTTGTAGTTTGTATTATACCATACATTAATTACTCAACCTCCTAATATTTATTTTTCCTCTTTTTAAGACAAGGCTAAGTATTTATTGTTCGAATTAAAGTATATACTTACAAAATTCTAAAACTAAAAGGATAGTTTGTGTGTGCATGATTTTTTCCTGATGAATTTAGACTGATGGTAAACAATACTAACCATGTAAAATATAGGTTTGGGGGCTATAAAATTCTCCTACTTCATCTTTAATGGTTAAAATTAGGGCTTAAAATTTCCTTGATTTTTGAATGTTCTTTTCTCATGTGGAATCTCAAAGACTTTTTAAAAATCTATTAAAACTAGTTTTGTCTGTTTGTTTTGTTTCCTGCTTGGGAAGAAATTCTCAGACTCACTATAGGTGTTAGGAAATGAGACTGGTGTTAGGGTTACTCTCCTCTCCTCCTTCCAAAGAACTATATGCTGAATTACTTGTTTCCAAACTGCATTCTAGAGTTCAAGACTTCTTGATAAAATATTCACTCTATTTCCTTGGGTTCATTTTGATTCTTGCCTGCATTCCGTGAATGAACCAACACAAACCTGTGCTCACTTTATTTGCCTGCTTCCCACAGTCGAAATATTTTTCAGTACCTTTCCTTTGTGTTTTATGATAAAAGTAAAACATGGGGAAATTCTTAAATGGGAAGATGTGCATTTTCAAAGGATTTCTTCTCAGTACTCCTTCCTCCAGAGCATGAGTAGAGTGATATTATTTTATCCAAATAATATTAAAAGGACCCTTAGCAACCTCTGCATGAATTTTCAAGTTGAAAGCTGGAGGCAACTGCAGTTTTGATTCGGAAATATTTCTGTGTGTTAAATTCACTAACATTTTGTTTCTCAGGTAAAAGAAGTCCCTGGAATAAAAATATTCCAAATAAATGCCCCAATTTATTATGCAAATAGTGACTTGTATAGCAGTGCATTAAAAAGAAAGGTGAGTCACGAGATATTGATTATATACTATTTCATATACATGTATATGTAACCTTTTAAAAACATTTTTAAGAAAAAGAAGTGAAAAAATAATTTTAGATTTCTTCTCTTGAGATCATATGGGTTTCTTTGGTCATGATTAGAACTCAGCCTCACACTGCCTAGTATATAGGAAAACCTCAGAGTCAACCCACAGAGTCTCTTAAATATCTCTTAGAATCCAAGAAATTTAAGTTTGAAAAATGCTTCTTTAAGTTCTCTTTAATACTTTAGCTTCAGATTGTCTTGAATCAAGACCAGGAATAAGAAAGGGCACTAATGGTCTTTTAAAGAGGGAGTCACTCAGCTCAGGGGACCTGAGGGCAAAGTAGAGAAAGGGTTGGGGTGGTAACCTGGGGTAGAAAACCATCAAATGGGGGAGATTTAAAGATTAATTGCATTTGTGTGAGTTCCTGGGAGCCAATAAGTGTTTTTGCGTGATTGCTTTTCTGTAAAGACTGGAGTGAACCCATCCCTTATCATGGGAGCAAGAAGAAAGGCCATGAAGAAGTACGCTAAGGAGTTCGGGACTGCAAACATGGCCAATGCAACCGTCGTCAAAGTGGTGAGTGGTCTCTTCAGTGTACGTTTCCTTCTCTCCCAATCCACAGTGGCCCCTGCCCTTACTCAAGACTGAAGTTATAACACAGCATGGAGTCCCTAAGATAGGAAAGTATAGAAACAATATAACTATTCTTTATGTATTAAAGATGCATGATAAGCTCAGTAATGAGAATGCTTCTGAAATAAGTAGTGATATGGGCCCAGGAAAACATTGTTCTAAAAAATTAAAATCACATAGTACCTTAATAAATTTTATCATTAGTACCTTGTCATAGATTCACTCAGCTTACAGTAAAAGAACTCAAAGGCTGGTTTTTACTGTTCAGGCTTATGTAACTTATGGTCCGTCATGCTGAAGTTAATGGAATTATTTTAGAAGCTATGGGGAAATACATATGATAACTAAGGAGAATGGGTTTCACTGGAGTGGGACAAAAAAAAGAGGAACAGAAACAGAGCTAAAATTGAATATTATATACACATCTTTTTTGGTCACATTACAAAGCTGAGATATGGCAAATATTTTATTTTATTTTTTATTTTTTTAATATTTTTTATCTTATTGATTATGCCATTACATTTGTTCTATTCCCCCCTCCATTCCCCTCCACCCTGCACACCCCTCCCCCACCATTCCCCCCCTTTAGTTCATGAACAGGTGTCTCAAGTTCTTTAGATTCTATATTTCCCATACTATTCTTACCCTCCCCCCCTATCTATTTTCTATCTACTGTCTATACTACTTATTTTCTGTACCTTCTCCCCCCTTCTCCTTCTCCCACTCCCCTATTGCTAACCCTCCATGTGATCTTTATTTCTATGGTTCACTCCGGATCTAGCTGTCCTCTTAATTTGCTTTTGTTTTAGGTGTGGTTCTTAATATCTGTGAGTTTGCTGTCCTTTCACTGTTCATCTTTTTTATCTTCTTTTTCTTAGGTAAGTCCCTTTAACATTTCATATAATAAGGGCTTGGTGATGATGAACTCCTTGAATTTGATCTTATCTGAGAAGCACTTTATCTGTCCTTCCATTCTAAATGAAAACTTTGCTGGATAGATCAATCTTGGTTGTAGGTCTTTGGTTTTCATGACTTGGAATGCTTCTTTCCAGCCCCTTCTTGCCTGGAAGGTCTCTTTTGAGAAATCAGCTGACAGTCTGATGGGAACTCCTTTGTAGGTGACTGTCCCCTTATCTCTTGCTGCTTCTAGGATTCTCTCTTTCATTTTAATCTTGGCTAATATAATTATGATGTGCCTTGGTGTGTTCCTTCTTGGGTTCACCTTCTTTGGAACTCTCTGAGCTTCCTGGATTTCCTGGAAGTCTATTTCCTTTGCCAGATTGGGGAAGTTCTCTTTTATTATTTGTTCAAATAAGGTTTCCACCTTGTAACTGTTCCTTTTCCCCTTCTGGTACCCCTATAATTTGAATGTTGGAGCGTTTAAAGATGTCCTGGAGGTTCCTAAGCCTCTCATCATTTTTTTGAATTCTTGTTTCTTCATATTTTTCTGTTTGGTCATTTTTTCCTTCCTTCTGGTCTGCTCCCTTGATTTGAGTCCCAGTTTCCTTTTCATCACTATTGGTTTCCTGTGCATTGCCATTCATTTCAATTAGTTTAGCCTTCATATGTTCCTCTAATTTGTGACTAAAATCAACCAGTTCTGTGAGCATCCTGATCACCAGTGTTTTGAACTGTGCATCTGAAAGTTTGGCTATTTCATCATTGCTTAGATTTATTGGCTCTGGGGCTCTGAGTTGTTCTTGAGCCATGTTTTGATCTGTCTGTGCCTGTTACGTCTGAGGATAGGCGCCTTAGATGTTCACCAGGGCAGGTTCACCCAGGTCGCTGGTTTGTGATGCTGTATGTGGGGGTGGGGTCAGAGAAGGAGCAATGGCAGTCCTCTCCACTCGCCCAGTCCACCTCACCGCTTGCCCCCACCTGCTTATCTGAGCGCAAATGTGCCAGCTGCTGCCCTGCTCCGGCTGCAGGGGCCTGCTTGATCTGTTTCAATGCTCACCTCTTCACTGGTTTATCTGAGTACAAATGTGACTGACTGCAGACAGCCAGCCCCACCTCTTCCCTGGGTTCTTCCCATAGCTAGCCCGCACCTGGGGTCCGGGCCCGCTGCTACCTGAGCACCGCCCGGTTTGGGGGATCTTTTTTGCTGGACCCGCTCAGCTGCTGGCTTTGCCCCTCTCACTGGTTTAGCTGAGCAGTTCATTCTTTTCAGACTCCGTATTCGATTTTCTGTGTGGTTTGGTTGCATTTATTATTGTTAAAACTTTATTGTTTTTAGATTTGGTTATGCGAGGACACAAAGTGTTCCCACCTACGCCTCCATCTTGGCAGAAGTCTGGCAAATGTTTTAGAAAAGATTGATATAATCAGTAGCTTAAGAGTCTATGGACTTTTTTGTATAATTCTCAGAACCAAAATGTGATTTGTTCATAGAATTCTGGTGTGATTTAATTTTTGGCATAGGATGCAGAAGTAGATGGAGAAGATGGTACAAAGCCTGAAGGAGAAGAAGATGAGATCAAGTACCCCCCAATAGTCATCAAGAGCACCTTCCCTGAAGAGCTGCAGAGGTTCATGCCCCCCACGGATAATATCCACACCATCATTCTGGACTTCACACAAGTCAATTTTATTGATTCCGTTGGTGTAAAAACTCTGGCAGGGGTAAGCATCAGCATGAACAAGTCATTTAAAATCTCTGTACCAGTTTTGCCATCAGTAAAATCAGAGTTGAACTAGAGTCCCTTTCCAACTCTTAAAAATGTCTTTGGTTTTTTTTTTTTCAACTTTTGACTATAGAAAATTTCAAAAATATTCAAAAGTAAAAAATATAGTATAATGAACATGCCACATAATTATTACTCAGCTTCAACAATTATCAGTTCATGATTAATCTTATTTCACTCATGCCCCATGCCCATTTGCCCCTTCTCTTATTTTGAAACACATGCCAGTCAACATATCATCTGTAAATAATTCAGTATATATTTCTACAAGAAGATTTTTATGTCATTTTTATTATACATTTATTACACATAAATAAAATTTAACAAGAATTCTTTGATATCTCTAATTATGACTGTCCATATAAAAACAAAAGAAATAAACAATCATTTTTAAATGATTCACTAAAAATGCATAATTATTGAAGCAAAGTAGTTCAAGTGAATGTACTAGAATGTCTTATGTCAGTGAAATACATATTGGTAAAAAGAGACTTGTATCTGGCGCAGTCAAGAGAAACTAAACTTTATTTCAACATTATTACAGATTGTAAAAGAATATGGAGATGTCGGCATTTATGTGTATTTAGCAGGATGCAGTCGTAAGTACACTTCTAGAATGAGGAGAAATAGTAATATTTTTCTTTTTGTTTCTCTTTTTTTAGAAAATATTTCCCCTTAATTTTGGTTTTTGGTGAAAACGAAATTTTTTCTTCTGAAAAATCACTGTAAAGCTAGCCTTGAAACTAGCCACATCTAGGCACTCCTGTCACTGGGAGAGTAGAGGGAAGCCCTTTGAACTGGAGTTGGTGAACTCCAACTAACAAACCATTGTTCTGGGCTGGTATATTTTTCAGTAATTATTTAACGGCTGCCATAAACATAGTTATATAAGGTCATTTAGGTTTTTACATATAATGTCTGCTGTTTTTTATATTAAATTTTTGTTAAAACAGTGTTTGAAAATGAACTGTTTGACAGCGTGTTCTGTAGACACTCTGACCTTGCTGGCGTGCCTAATGAAACAGCCCCTATAGAGACTTTCTGCATTGCAAATGCATTTGCCCTTTAACCCAGAGAATCCAGCAACGTGTAACACACATTCAAATGAAACGCATACCCAGGTAATCATCACGGTACTGTCTATAAAAGCAAAAGACTGGAAACACTCTCAACTAGCACACAAAAGGAACCAGTTAAATTAATTAGGCTACACCTACAAGCTCAAATACCATGTAGTCATAAAAAAAAATTAAGTGAAAAAATTAAATGTTTAAAAAATTCAGAATAATATAAATAGTGTGCTTTCTTCTGGGTAAGAAGAAAAGGACAAAAATAAGAATATTTGTTTATATATTTACTTATATTTACATAAATACATACTGAAAGAATACACAAGAAAATAATAAAAGCAGCTTCCTACAACTGGGGGTGTGATGTTATGGGTACAGGGATTGGGGTGAGACTTTTTATTTTATCATTTTAATATTTAAGCTGTATGAAGTGTTACTTTTTTTCATGTTCGAGATTGATACCCAAAATGTGGACTAATTTTCTTTTCTTCTTTTTTAGCACAAGTTGTGAATGACCTCACACAAAACCTATTTTTTGAAAATCCTGCCTTATGGGAGCTGCTGTTCCACAGCATTCACGACGCAGTTTTAGGGAGCCAACTTCGAGAGGCACTTGCAGAACAGGAAGCCTTAACTCCTCCGCCCCAGGAGGACACGGAGCCCAATGCCACTCCTGAGGCGTGAGGAACTCAGCCTGGGACGGTGTATGAGCCTCTCCTGAAACTACTCATTTACACATTTTAAATACCAGACAATAGATTTTTTTTTCAAAGGGTAAATACACATAGTCAAGGCTTGATCTGGAGGGTGAATGATGCCTAGCAAGATGTACCTTACTTGTGTGTGTTTTTTAATTGACTACTTCAAGATAAACTGGCCTTCACCTGCATTTATTGTGCAGTGACATCTCTGTTACTTTTTAGTATTATCTTTGTCAGCCAAGCACTTAAGAATTTTTCCTTTTAAGTACCTTACCTACAAATCAGATATGCTGTCACCAGATGGGTGGTGGTTCCTTGCTTTCATACTTGCTGGTCTACAGATATTCTGTAACTAGAGTTATCAAACAGTAGTGGCATACCCAGTTTTCTGGAAGTTCTTTCCAAATAACCATTTGTTTTTATAGAAGCAATGTAAGTGCATTACAGAAAATCCAGACTAGCAAAAATAAGAAAATAAAAATACTATATTGCTACCAGTTGAGGATTATTGCTAACACCTTAATGTATCCTGTCAGATCTTTATGCATACATATTTACATCTTTTAACCAAAATACAATCACACTCTACAGTGTCTGTAACCTATTTTTTCTCATTCCAGAACATTTTTACCTCAGATCGTATTCAAATTTCACCCACTTGTCCCCAAATCTGTAGTTGATTTGTCCAAACTAGTATCCATTGTGTGACCTTACACCACAACTGGTCATGTCCCTTTAAGTCCCTAAGTGTATCTTAATCTAGCACAGTCCCTTTTGGGATGACATGGACTTGTTAACAAGCCTGGGGCAGTTGTCCTGGAGAATCCCATACTGGTCATGTATCCACGTGCTTCCCCAAGGTGTTATTTAGCTTGTCCTTTTATTTTCTGAACTACCTGTGATCTAGAAGTTACATCTGTAGGCCTCATGGATTTGAATAAAACATTTTTTGTTAGAATATATCATAGATGAGACACAGGCTTCAAATTGCATCACATCAGAAAAAAACATACTGTGTAGTTGACCCTACCATTAACAACACTGAGGTGAATACACTGGATTAACAGAACAGCCTAATCCCCCAATTGTGTTTTCACCCTTGTGGTTAGTGAGTTATCTGCATGGTGTTCCTTTGGCACGGAATAAATTCCCAGTTCCCCATTAGCCATTCACCTGGGAGTTTTAACACCTAGTGGTAATCTTTGCCTGAATCAGTAAATATTAAGGTTTGTGAATTTTTTCTCTGATTTTCTTATTTCTTCTGCATTTATTAGTTGGTGTTTTTATGTAAATTATTATAGCTTTCCTTCCTCAACTTGAGCTATTTAGTCATCCTTAAATACAGTTCTTATTGGAAAGGCAGGTTTGATTTTTCCATTTAATTATCAAATTCAAAGAAAGAAGTTGGTTTCATAAATAGATGGTGACAAATTAGGTTCTTTTCAATTTCTTTTTTGGTGTAATTATAGACTCGTGAATTTTTATATTTTAATGTGTTTCAGTCTGTTATTCTTTTTGGTGCTAAAATTGTCACAACTGTGACCAGTAGGAGCCCCTAGAAATGTTGTTGCTAGTAGCCTAAAGACCCTGTATTTAAGAAAACTAACTCCAAAGTATAACATCTTCCTTAGAAGTCCATAAGAGTTATTTACTTAACTCCTCATCAAATGCAGTTTTAAGCCTATGAATGAGTAAAATGCTTATTTTCAAGTACTCTTTATAGTTGTTACAAAGGAGTGAGGGAGACCATTAAGACAATTTGTCATCAAAAGTTCTTATTCTTACAATATTAACAGATCACTGTAATTCAAAGCACAAGTATTAATTGGCTAACCTGCCTACGGTCTCCCCTGATAAGATTTCCTGCTAATATTCAGTTTGTCTTTTTTATACTTTTTAAAAAATGTTTTCTTATTGATTCCTTATTTTAGTTTTCATGAAGAAAACACTGGCAGGAGAAAAGTGGTCACATCCCAGGAAAGTACTACACTGGCATAGGTCTACTCAAAACCAAACTCTGTGGTTTGTTTGCTTTAACTCCAATGAGGTTTCTCATTATTTTACTAATTTAATTCAAAGTAAACCCCTTCTTTCTAATCAATTCTTTACCTAGCTATACAGGGAAGTTAGATATACATTCAGTTATTTCCTTGGCAATCATCACACACAAGATCCAATACATCTGCGTTCGACTGCCTTCTGAAAGGGCATGTAGTTGTAGAGCCTCAGCTTACACCAGAAACTTTTGTAAAAAGGCCTGCAGCAGTTCAGCCATTTAGGGTTTTAAACAATGTTACAGAATTTTTCATTGTTATGTCCCCTTAGCACCAGTCTTCAACAAACGCTTTTACACATAGTGGAGACCCGAGTCCTAGTTTTGATAGGTTGAAAGTAGTGTACAAAAAAAGTATTTGTCTGTATCTTACAAATTTGTATTTAACTTTTCTTTAATGTTTAGCCTAGTTTGACTAGAATTCTACCATGTACATAAAAAGCACTGAAGTCTTACTGAAGGGAAATGATGTTTTTGTTTCAGCATGTTTCTGAGAATCTAGAACTGCACTTCAGAATGTATTTTATCCATATGTAAATATTTTGGAATGTTTTACTTGAATTATTTCATTAACAACACTAAGTTGTTATTGCATATAGTGGAAAATTTCCTGGGCTCTTTTTACTTAGTCAAGTTTTGTCTCTACCTTCTCTCTGGACTTTAATAGCTGCTAGGTATGCCTGTCTGTTTTTCAGTGTTGATTCAAATTCAGATTCTTACTGCTCTATCAGAATGGGCATAACATACATCAATCAGTAAACATAGGGACTAGCCCTATTTTATAGCAGGGGACAACCCTGTTTTCAGGAAGGTCCCATATAGACAAATGCTTTGTCTTTCTGGAACCCCACATAATATGACAGCAGTTGATCTCTACCTCATGGAGGGGTGGAATGTTTGAAAACAATGGGACCCAGGGCTCAGGGAACTCCTATTCATGTCATAGATATTGACTTTGTATAATCATATGGCAGCTGGTAGTGGTATCCCAATTGCCAATCTCGTTTGCAGTGGAACGCAAAGAAACAGTTAAAGATCTGAATCCTCTACAAAGCCTGGGAATACCTCACTTTGTAGTTTTCAGGTAACATCTAAAATATCCACTCCACATGGTCTGACCCTGTATCCTTACCTAACAGAAAGGAGGTGCTTGCCTCCAAAGTTACAGTGAGAAAATGAGTATGCCCTCCTGTGTGCATGAAGAGGGCAGCAAACCCAGAGAATCTGCCCTGGAGTGGGTAGGTGTGTTTTTCTGTGTTTTAGGGGGTGAGGGTGGGGGGTGTGCCCTTGTGTGGGGATGAGGGAGGGAATGCTATGTGGTGGGGAAGGCTTTGTCTACTATGTCTGACCCTTTAAAGATAGTAAATCAATTTAAATTCTAAGATCAAAGAAAACTTTAGTGTGAGACTGTATGCTTTAATGAGTGCAAAAAACCTGTTGGTCCCTTTTAGTGTACCTTTCGGGAATGCTTTTAGGATTCAGTCTGTTTAGCTTCTTGATAATATGGTTTGAGTGCTGGTAAGAGTTGATATGAGAACTGATAAAAGTACCATCTAATTCTCCAAACCAAAATGCATATAGCCAACCAAAATGCATACAGTGGTTTTAAAACCCCTCACATCCCAATTAAATGTTCAAAAGCTAGCTGCCTGCTTACTGACATGAATGTAATCAAGTTTGAACATCTCACAAATCCATCTTGCCTTTGAAAAAGACCCACCAGCTTTTTCATTGTACTGATATATAGCATTTACTTTAAGTGCAGGTGAACCTGACCGTTGTGGAAATTAAATTTTTATAAATCTGATCACATTTTTAAATGTTATATTTTTAAAAGTATCACTGCAGTATTATTTTTCTATTCACAAATCCTTTGTAGTATCTATTAGCACCCTGACATGTATAAACATGCATATACACATTTTAGCTGGACTCACTGGTTAATGTATATTTTATCTTCTTAAATATAGTACAGACATGCTGATCCACATAGTGTTTATGCTACTGCATATACACACCTGGGCAGGGACATCTGTTTTTCAACTTACTGTACATCTGATGTGTGGTCAGTTAGCTTTTTGTCATGTACCTAAGTGAGATATCAAGATTTAGAGCCTGTAACATGTCGACCTGAGGGAGGTCAACATATCCAATTTGAGTTGTCTCAAACAGCATATATGATGTATGTTGCTACATGAAAAACTGGTAAAGAGTGTGTTCTAACTGCTTACATTTATTAAAACATTACAAAAATGTACATCACTAGTCATTCACTTAAGCATATTTTATTATAAGAACGTTGATATGGTTTGGTCTATTTTATACCTCATGAAAGACTAGGGCAGACTTAAGAAAGAAAAATTTTATGACAAATTTCACAAACATGAGAAACCAAGAGAGTATTGGTTGGATTTTATGAATAAAGGGCTTTAATTTTTCAGCTTGAAACTTTCATGTTTTAAATTATTTCAATATTATACTTATAGCATTTTCTATGTTATCAACCTTTTGTGAATTTAATGTATCCAGCTCTATTTTGCACTACTTACTTATGAATATTGAACTACAATAAAAATATTCTTTATTGTGCCTGGGTCTCTATATTTGAAGGGAGGGGATTGTGGTGGAAAAGGGGAGGAGATTTAGTGGTATTGCACAAGAAATGATTTTAAAGAGATCTGTTGAGAATTTTAATGCAACTTTTATTAAGAAACGCCTTACTGTAGACCCATAGTCTAACAGGAGCTTTACCAAAATTTAAAACATTAATTTATAAAATGAAAGTAAGTATTTCTCTGTATGAAGCCAATTCCTGATTTTCTAAATTAGATTATTATGTGTATACACTTTTCTTTTTGCTTTATTACTTCACTGGTCATTAAAAATCAACAATTCTTTTTTAAGATTTTTATTTACTTTTAGAGAGGTGAGGGGAGGGAGAAAGAGGGAGAAAAACATCAATGTGTGGATGTTCCCCCCTCCAGGGACCTGGCCTGCAACCCAGACATGTGCCCTAACTGGGAACCAAACCAAGTGACCCTTTGGTTCGCAGGCCAGCACCCAATCCACTGAACCACACCAGCCTGAGCTCAACAATTCTTGACTAATTCGAAATCAAGTCAAATAGCAAAGCAAACATATAATATCAGATGGTTCTTCCCTTTAAAAAGTAAGTTTGGCAAAAGCTTTATTATTCAATACACTATGAAATGCATGTAGTCATATGCCTAGATGGGCTATTCTGATGAGGGCACAAGAGCACAGTATTTAGAAGCACAGCAGATGAAGCTGACAAACTTCAACTTGAACCCTAGCTCTGCTACAAGTCAATTCGATAGCAAAGATTTGCATTCATTAGATCAAGATCTATCAGATCCACCTCTCTGGGCAGACACTGGGAGACTCCAATAATGTATGTACAGCACCCAACCAATACATGCCCAGAACAAACATGCTCTCAGCAAGCACTTTATGATACAGGACACTTAAATGGTAGCAGGTCAAAAAACTGTCAACGTACACTGTAATAAGCCTTTCTGACCAATGATATTAGATATCACCTTCTATTGTACTATAGAGAAGACATATCTGAAACAAAACCATATAATTTTGAAACCATTTATTTTCTGTGTGAAATGGTTATTAAGTCTATATAAGCTTAGGATTCCAATTAAAAGAAGTGTTTCATGAAAGCTTTCAGGGCTCAGTTGTATGTCATGTAGCGTGGAGTAGCACTGAATTTGGCATAGGACTTAATGACCTTATTTACAGCCTCCAAGAAATCCTTCTCAGTAGCAATTTTTCTCCGTGCTCTGATGGCAAACATACCAGCTTCTGTGCAGACACTTCTGATCTCAGCACCTTTCCGAAAAAAAAAAAAAAAAAAAAAAAAAAAAAAAAGATAGGCTTAATTAAAACAGACAGGACAGACAGACCAGCAAATACAGACAAGACCTTTGAACCTACCAGTGCTATTTGGACATAGTCGTGCTAACAACTCAAATCTGATATCTCTTTCAACGCTCATTGAACGTGCATGAATCTTAAAAATGTGAGTCCGACCCTAAAAATAGAGGAATTGAAAAATATTACAATGGAAAACATCACAGGAAGAAAAAATTTCAACAATCCCATTTCTAAAAAGAAATGATTTTCTTACCTCAAGATCAGGTAAGCTAAATTCAATCTTCCTATCCAGTCTCCCTGGCCTCATCAGTGCGGGATCCAAAGTGTCAGGTCTGTTAGTGGCCATGAGCACTTTAATGTTGCCTCGAGGGTCAAAGCCATCCAGCTGATTGATCAATTCCAACATTGTTCTCTGTACTTCATTGTCACCTCCAGCACCATCATCAAAACGAGCCCCTAAGACAAGAGGAAACACATCCGGTCACAGCAGCATCACACCAACTTGAAAGTACTATAAATCCCAGCTCAAATCCTGCCCTCCAGTGCAAGTGAATCCTGTAGGTACTGCACGCTTCTCACAAAACTAATTAGAAAGTGAGTCCTTCAAGACTCATAGATTTATTTATTATAAGATCTTTTAAAGTACTTTTAATTCTCTTTAAGGAATTTTGTTTCTTAAATCACTCAAGAACACCTCCATTGTATACCTGAACCAGGCAGCAGAATACATGCAAACTTGAGCACTGTAACGTAAGAAACTGCCATACTCTTCTAAATTTCTCAAAACTGTCCTTTAAAATAAGGCTAAATCCGCAATACAGCAGAAATGTAACTTACACTATCTTACTACTTTGGATATATTATAGCACTCACAGTTAGTCTCTCATTTCAACCAAAATAGCACAAAAAGCTTCCAAATACATACTTTTACTTTTAAACTGTATATATACTGTTGTATTTATGTACTATATACATTATAACAAAAAATTAAAAATTGAGATTAAAATTAAATATGAGAAAAATTTCTATTATTTTTTCCCTGTACCCTAATACTATCTTATACACAACCCACTTAGGAAAGCACAGCTTCAGAGCAGCCTGACAGCATAAGGCTTATGGCTTACTCCAATGATACTATAAAAATGACTTCAGAGTCACCACACTGCATCAATACACTGCTCAAATTAACCACCTGAAGACAGTAACTACAGGCATCCAAGCC